CAGAAAACAATAAATAGTTTAAAATAATAAAGTCTTTAAAGAAAGAGTAAAGTCATATTTTTTTTTTAAAGTCACATAAAGATGGGAACTACAAAGGGTGTCTGGATCCTATATGGTGCTTTCCTGACTTTGAATATTTTAAATGCTAATAAAAAAATAGCTGCTGAGAGACACTGGATTATGGAACTGCTAAATTAAACCATATGGATTTGTTAGCAAAAAAAAAAAAAAAAAAGCAGATAAAACTACAAGACAGGGGACATATAAACTAATCCCTGGACATGGGAACAGCTTTGAGACTGGATGAGACATGATAAATCTACATGGCTGTAGAGTCCTCATGTCTTATTATTGCATGCCATCCTTTTTTTGTCCTTAAATAATATTTTAAAAGAATTATAGTTCCAAGAACACAGGCTTGAAACAGTCCCTGCCCAAATCTAGGCTCCCTATTTCCTCCTTTCCCTGGACAAACATACATTTAGTGCCTACTGCATGCTGGCCTGAAGCTAAGCCAAGAGTCCAGCAGGTAGTAGGGTCCCTCAGAAAGTCAGTGTTCTCAGTGCCTCTGGCTGTGGCAGATGCTGCTGCCTAACTGGTATCCCAGGTACATATGGTAGAGTAGGTCAGCTGGCTTGCTGCTCTTTCCTGGCCTTGGTGGAACTTATTGCAAAAGATGAGTGATTGCATACTGTTTGGGCAAGCCATCCTTCTATATGGCATGGATAGATAAATGTTGCTTTACATTTTTTAATGAGCTGTATAGGTACAATACCTTAAGAGTAGAAACACATTTACAGTATAACAAATATAACCTTAAATTTATATCAATATACAAAAATCTATACCAATGTAAAATATTTGAGGCTAGTAGTGGCTTTTTAGTTTAAAAGTAGATTCAATAATCTACCCTTTTATCTTATCACTCCTATATCCCCCCTTCTCTTTCTTTTCAGAAGATTCCTGAATCTAACCTAGTTTAGTTTTCCCCTAACCATGACCACTAACAACTTGCAACCAACCCCCCTAAATGATGATGAACATTCATAACCCACTGAATAACTAAAACCCATATGCCCCACCTCTTGGGAATATGAGCATTGTGTTTTCTAGACTGATTCCTGTTGTCTGGGGGCAATGGCATCTTTAGTGGTCCTGAGAAAATTGGGATAATGGTCAATTCCTGGGAGAGCTAGCTGTATCATTTGTTGTTTAGTCTCTGTGGGATGGGAAAGTACAGAACTTATTTTAAGCCCTGGTGAGAGTAGTCTGTGAGGCTGGACCCTCTCAGCTAGCAGTTTTGAAGATATTTTGAAAGTGGATTTTTGTGGAAACTGCAACAGAGGCATTCTGAGAGTCTGGATCACCTGGGCTACTTGTCTTCATTGGTGTCTGGTCTTTTTGTTCTGAAAACACAAACTTTTAAAGATAACATACATATCTATATTAACACAAGTTTGGAATTCATAGTATGCACAAGTCAGCTAAAGATGATATTTTGTTCTTTGTTTGACCAGGCAAAAAGCATCTGTTAACCGTATTAGTCTGTTTGAACTGTATTACCTGTTTACTCAGGTAATATTTTATCCTTCTTGGATCTTTGTTGGAGTTGAAGACTAAATAGTTATAGTTACAGTTTTCCTTGTTTCCAAATTCAGAAAAAATAAAAACTTACATAAGAGATGTAAAGTTTATAAGGTTGGGAAACATAAAAGCTTAAATTGTTTATCTAAAAAGATATTTTAAGATCTAAAATTATGTTTTTAGGATGACAATATAAGTTATGATAAAAAATGGCATATGCCAAATATAACTAGACTGGACATTGTAAATGCACCTCTTTTTCTTTTATTATTAATTATGAAGCTGTTGGCCATTTTCTATGGTTTCTTGTTGGCTAGCTCTGACTTAATTATTAACCCATAGCTGCTAATCTAAGTAGTAAATGCAATTCTTACCTGATAATTGTTCTTAATGTATATATTTTTACCATGTTAGAGTTAAAACCTTTCCTTTTAAAAATAATAAAAATTTTAAAAATTAAAAAAAAACTTTCCTTTTTATTTAGGCAAAAGAGGAAATGTTGTGGGTTATTTGTACACTGTGAAGATGTACTGCTGTGATTGATGTAATAAAATGCTGAGTCGTCAATAGTTAGTCAGGAGAGTATAGGTGGGACTTCTGGGCAGAGAGAGAACTCTGGGAAGAAGGTAGAGCCTCCAGTCAGATGGTAAAGGAAACAGGACAGTCAGCACAGGGATGAGGTAATGAGCCACACAGAGAATGTAGATTTAAAAATATAGGTTAATTTAAATTGTAATAGTTAGGAAATAAAAAATGAACTAATTAGGGTGGAGCGGGACAGTGGTGGCGCACAGCTTTAATCCCAGCACTCAGTAGGCAGAGGCAGGTGAATCTCTATAAATTTGAGGCCAACATGGTCTACAGAGTGAGTTCCAGGACAGCCAAAGCTACAGAGAAATTCTGTTTTGAAGAAGAAAAAAAAAAAAACTAGTTAGGAACAAGCGTAAGTGAAAGCTGAGCTTTCACAGTTGACAATAGGTCTCTGTGTGCTCTTTTGTGAGCTGGTGGCCCAAAGGAAAATCCAACTACAGTTTTCTCTGTTGATACAACACAGGATGACCTTACTCAGGGCCTTAAACCTCTTGGGTATTGTTTCTACCTGAAAAACAATGTTCCAGTGGTCTTTGCAAAGACAAGCCCTTGTCCCCATTCACTGTGTAGCTTCAAAGTCACCTATTTGAAGTTGATCCTGATCACCAACTGAAGCAGTCCCTTTCCCATGTGAAATGAAATAAAGTAGATGAATGAAAAGCATTCGCAGCACATGTGAAGGCCAGAGAGTAAGTATCTTCACTAACAGCCATAACACATGAAGCTTTAGCACTATCTGTGAGGCTGTCAAGTCAGACACAATGGGGCCTGAAAGTTGACTCTGTTCTTTACCACACTTGGGAAGGTCACAGACATCTCTGAGCCTCGATGTACAATACACATAATACCATCTAGCTCAGGTGACTCTGTAAACGTAACAGACGGATGCCCATTACTCAATAATGGAGGATAGTGTCAGCACTGACAGGATTAAAGACAAACAGCCCAGCTTTCAAAATACGGAAAAAGAAAAACTCAAGTCACAAGAGAACATTCACGACTGAGCAAATGTATGGGGAAGGAGTCCTCAGCCAACGTGCAGCAAAGGCAAACACAAGGGCGCGTTCCTGGGATCCAGCATTCACCCTAACTCATTCTTATATCCTCGCCTCTTACACTTGATACACCAAACATCTTATACAGACTAGGTGTAGACCAGGCATTTTAAAACTCCATTCAGCCGTTCATATTTTTGAATGAGAACTCTAATCTCTGGGGCTCTAACATGGGGGTGTGTGGGGGCATGGAACATGGAATGTATCTATCTGCATGTTTTATAACACTATGAAACTATAACAAATGCATGATGGTGCCTATAAAAGTTGCCCTTTACTGAGTTAGTGCTTCCAAATTGCCACATACTGTGTTAAATATATTAGTGACATTCTTATTCAGCCCTTAGTTCTCCTCTCCTTTTGAAGTAGCTATTATCATTAATCCCTTAATTATAGAGAAACAAAGGCTTGTGGACATGATAACTTCAAAGTCTCATATGATGGGGACAAGACCAAACTCAAGACACTGACTCTCAATACTGAATTCTACAGGTTATCAAAACCCTACAGCATTACAGGAAAGTCTTTCTAATTAATGCAACTTGGACTAGTATTAAAATTACAACTATGGGAAACACAGTGAGTTGGAAGAATGAACTTCAAAGGGCTTAGCAGCATTTGTACCGTTTTTATAGTGACAGCATAGAGACATGACAACACTCGGGTTTTAGTAATTTCACAATTGTGGAAGGGAGAATTAGAAGACCTGTGCTCCATTTCTCTATTACTAGGCCAAAGTTTCTTTGCTGTGAAGACAGCATTGAAGGCTAGGAGGGGAAAAAAAAAGAATCAACTGTAGTTCATCTTTCTAATCTACTATTTCACGAAACTGGGAAGACTGATCGGTAAATTATTTCTAAATGCTTTCATTGCCTCATGTAGAGTGGCAGTTCTAGAGTCTAGATTAGTAGATTCCAAACTTTGGAGCTATCTGTCAACTTATGTGTGCTTTTGAATAATCTGCTTCAAGGCATCAGTTTATCTAACCGCGAAGCAAAAAATTAAAACATGACCTGTCACATGAGATTAAAGCTTGTCCTATAAACCAAATGAGATGAGGAATGCAAATTTCACCAACAGCAGCAAGCACTCAACAACTATTTTTCACAAATAAAGACGGGCTTCCAAAAAAACCAGCCCCAGTGTGGGAGAAGTCATTAAACAAGAAAACGGGACACGTGTCCTTACTGACTCCTGATACTCTGCAGATAGACCTTAGGCGATTACACAAAACTTACAAAAGTGGAAGAAAGGCGGCACAATAGGAGCCTGACCCATACCTAACTTTCTCACTCCTACCTGTGTCGATTACCTCAGCTGGCCAAATGCGAGCAGAGCTCAGCAGAAGCTCACTATTGGGTTCAAACAGAAGTCTGGATTCTTTCCCATATCCAGGCAGAACCTGTTTCATGACCTTGAGAAAATTAAATTCCACTATTTACTCCCTAGGTTTACTCTTCCCTTCCAAATGAAAAAGGAGAAGAAGAAAGAAAAGTCCTTTACGGACTGCTGCCTCAAGTTGGTGACCCAATCCTGGCAAGGGAACACCTAAGGGGCCTGATAAGGAAAAGCAGGAATGAAGCTAAGAGGAAAGAGGGGCGCTCTTTCTGCACCCTCGGGCCCTAGCAGAAGGCAGGGTGCCTCTCACCTATCCTGAAGGTGCCCGGGGGCAGCATCTGAAGGGAAGAGTCACCAAGAAAGAGCAACAAGATCGCAAGCCGTCCCGAGGCGGGGATGGACCCGGGATGTAGGGAGGTCGCCCGGTCTCACCATACTGCAGGGACTCCGGGTCCGGCTGGAAAGTGAAGTGGGCCACCCGCCGCTTCTGGGCCGCGCCCTCGCCTCCGGGTGGCAGGAAGCCTTGCACCAGCCCAGCGCAGCGCGGTCCGCACCACCGCCGCTCCGCTCCCGCAGCTCGGAGCCGCAGAAGCCCGGCCGTGCGGGAAGCCACCGCCGCCATCCCCGGGTCTCAGGCACCGCAGCCCACGCTGCCGGCAGGGAGGGCGGAGCTGCATGGCGGGCCTCCACATTGGGCGGTTTGGGGGGGCGGGTCCGTGAAAGAAACCAATTGGAGATGGAATTTCGGGGGCGGGGATGGAGACGCGGTGACCTGGAAGCCGGTTCAGACGGAAGCTGGCCCTAGGGCCGTGAAGTCTGAGATGCGAGCCCTGGATGCTGAGCCACCCCAAATTCAATAGCGTGGCCTGCGGTGTTACACACCGCGACTGGCTGTGTTGGTATCCAGTACCATTTTTACCGTGTCATTTCCTGTAGCTTTTTCATTTTTACAATTCTACTTCCTTCTGTGTTTCTCCTATTGAGTGCCGGATGGTAAAGGTTAGTGATTACTGGGACAGGCATTGGTTTCGGGTTTCAGAAAACCGTAGAATCCCTAGAAGAGCCATCATGCATTTTGAAATAATAAATATAGGGATTTTTATTGAGTTTTGTTTTTCCTGACTTAGATAATAGCAAAAAAAAAAAAAAAACAGGTAAATAGAGATTTCTGACTTCAAATCCACTAGGAGTTCTTGCCCAGGTACAACAGAAAGTACCTGGTGGAGTACCCTATGTAAGTTAGAAATGTGTAAACTATACAAAATAATCAGCTTTATAAATTTTATTTTAAAATATTCAAGTATTTTAAAGTATACATCCTTCTTGGTTGTGAGTTGGTAGATAGCCATAAAAAATTAAAATACAACAGAGACAAACAAGAAAGTGTATCAGCTAAAGGAAGATTCCAGAATGGTGGAAGAATTCTGGTGACAGACTGAGAGAATGAAGAGGAAGGACCTTTGTGACCTTTAATGGCAGAGAAACGTCATCTATTGCTTGTCCTTTTTTGTGAATTTGACACAAGCCAGCAGGGTCATCTGGGAAGAGGGACCCTCAATTGAGAAAATGTTTTCATTAGATTAGCCTGTACACAAGTCTATGGGGACATTTTCTTGATTAATATTTGGTGTGAGTCTCCCAGTACACCGTAGGCTGCGCTACACTTGGGCAATGGTCCTGTTGTGTAAGCAGGGGAACCCCACAGAAGAGGAGGAAGGACTGTAGAAGTGGGAGGGGTTGGAGGGGTCAAGGACCCAGTCTACAGAATCAACCAAGCCGGACTATGGGAGCTCACAGAGACTAAGGCAGCAATCACAGAGCCTATATGGGTCTGATCTGGTCCTCTATATGTACATTATGTTGTTGTGTAGCTTGGTATTCTTGTGGAACTCCTAACAGTCGGGGTGGGGAGTATCTCTGCTTCTTTTACCTACTCTTGGGACTCTTTTCCTCCTACTGGGTTGCCAGGTCCAGCCTTAATATGAGGGTTTGTGCCTAGTCTTATTATAACTTGCTATGCCATGTTCAGTTGACACCCCTGGGAGTCCTGCTCTCTTTCTGAAGGGAAATGAAGGAGGAATGCAGAAGAGGGAGGGTTGTGGGAGGGGCAGGGGGAGTGAAGGGAGAGGAAACTGGTTGGGATGTAATGTATGAGAGCAGAAAACAATTTTTTAAAAGACCCTTTAAGTCACATTAATAAAAAGGAAGCAGGTGGTGTTAAAAGAAAGAGGAGGAGGAGGAGGCCAGCTGAGAAAGGCAGTAAGCAGCTCTCCTCAATGGCTTCCCTTTCAGTTCCTGCCTCCAGGGTCCTGCCTTGAGTTTCTGTCCTGATTTCCCTGGATGATGGACTATAAGCCATAAACTAAAATAAATGCTTTCCTCCCAAAGTTGCTTTTGGTCATGGTGTTTTGTTATAGCAGTAGTACAGCAATAGTAACCAAACTAAGACAAAGATATTACTCATAAAAAAGCAAAATAGCATAGCCACCTTGGGAGACAGTTTGGTAGTTTTTTATAAAATTGCATATACTCTTACCATATAAACTATTAGTCATACCTCATGATATTTTCCCAAGTGACTTAGAAACTTAAGTCAATATGATTTGTGTATTATTTTGTTTTATAGTCAGGGAATCTTTTAGCACAGCCTGGTCTAGAACTCACCAGGTAGCCAAAGATGACATTGAACTCAAGTTCTTTCAGCTCCTGACTACCAAGTGTTAGGATTATAGGCATGGTCTCCCAGTATGGCTTTGTATCAAGCATTATACCAGCTTTTTTCATGCTTGCCAAACTTGAAAGCAAACAAAGTGAGCTTGAATCAGTGCATACATAGGTAAACTGTGATACTTTCAGGCAGTAGAATACTATCCAGCACCAAAAGAAAATTACATGTCAATGAAAGAGTGAGACAAGCTGTGATGGCTATTTTGGTTGTCAACTGGACTATATCTGGAATTAACTAAAAACCAGAAATGGCTAGGCACACCTGTGAGGGATTTTTGCTTAATTAATTCATTTGAAGTGGGAAGATCCACTTCAAAATCCACTTTTGTCTTTGAGGTAGAAAGACACACCTTCAACTCAGATTTTGTTTTGTTTTGTTTTTTGAAACAGGGTTTCTCTGTAGCTTTAGAGCCTGTCCTGGCACTCACTCTGTAGACTAGGTTGGCAGGACTAAAGACATGTGCCACCACCGCCTGGCTTCAGTCCAGATCTTTTGAAGTGGGAAGATTCACCTCTGAGCCACACCTTCTTCCACTTGTATGAAATTTTACATAGTAGTCAAGTAGACAGCGGTAGAATGTAGATACATGGTTTACAAGAAGTTGGAGAGGGATAATGGTAAGTGACTGGAAATGATTTTGGAGTTTCTTTGGGGTGAAAAAAAAGTTGTCTTGAAGAGAACCCATGATGAAAGCAATTTATAGAAGAAAGAGTTTATTGGGAACTTGCTTACAGTTTCATAGGGCTAGTCCATGGCCACCATGGCCAGCAGCATGGTAACAGGCAGAGGGACTGGTACTGGAGCAGTAGCTAAAAGCTCACATCCTTGTATAAAAGAACAAGGTAGAGAGGGAGAAAGAGAATGGGAGAGGAAAAGAGAGAGAGTTAATTAAACCTTTGAAACCTCAAAATGAACCCCAGAGACACACATCCTCCAACAAGGCCACACCTCCTAATCCTTCCCAAATTGTTCCAACTGGTCACCAGGCATTCAAATACATGAGCCTATGGGGGTCATTCTTATTCAAATCACCACAGAAGTATTATAAAATTAAATTATGGTGATGGTTGTACAACCTTGGGACTATACCAAAAGCCATGGAAATGCACCATCTGTATGGATTAAATTCAGTTTCTCCCTCAACTAAGCTCGTGTGGAAATCTAATGCATTGATACAATCCTAATAGCAAGGCCTTTGGGAGGTGATCAGGGTATGGCAGAGCCCTCAGGGAAAGATCAGTGTCACTATAATGAGAAAATTCTTACTCAGAGGAATGGATTAGTTACCAGAAGAGTGGAATGTTACACAGGGAATTGGTGTCCTTGGTTTTCTCTTATGTCTCTCTCACAAGGCAAATTCTTTACATAGTCACTTGCCCTGTTGTTCTCCCACTATGATAAAACTAACATGAGCCCTTTACAAGAAGCTAAGTCCATGCTAGTGCAGTGCTCTCGAACCTGCAGAACGGGGGTAAGTGTATCCATCATATGATCCTGCTACAGAAAAGAAGGAAGGTTCTAGAGAGAAGAACACTCTTGTGGACATCTGACACTTGACTAGACCTGGCAGGCTACAATCTTAATTGCTCAGAAAGAGACCTTTCCAACATCCCTTTGTTTTTCTTTTACATTTTTCCCATCCATCCCTTTGTCTCTCTAGTATACTGTTAGCTTTCCTCGGATAACATTATATTTTTAAAGATTTTTGTGTTTTTACTTCTTATTACCCTTCTTAGATTCATCTAATTTTGCTCATACATTTTTTCTTTATTTGGCAATGAGATATTTTTTATGTCTGCTGTACTTTTCCTTTCTTCACCACACCCTTCTCTATTCCTCTTTACTTTTAGTTCCTTCCATTCTCCATTCTTCCCCATCCCTGTTCCCATCTCACTTTTCATTTATTAACTAGTCTTACTTTTATCTTAAATAGTTTTCATCATGATAGCATACTACACTACTTTTGTCATTCTCTGTTCTAGTAATCATTGGTCGTGTGTAAGCTGCTTGAATCAATTTTAAGCATATTTCTACGTTGTTCTGCTGTGATGTTTTGCTACCACAGCAGTTTGCTTCCTCCTTTCTGAATGTGTGATAGTTTGAATGCAATTGGCCTCCATAAGCTCATAGGGAGTGGCACTATTCGGTGTGGCTTTGTTGGGATAACATTGTTGGAGGAAGTGTGTCACTGTGGAGCTGGGTTTTGAGGTCTCGAATATGCTCATGCCAGCCAGCCCAGTGCCTTAGTTCACTGCCCGTTGCCTGTGGGTCAAGATGTGGGACTCTCAGTTCTTTCTCGAGCACCTTGTCAGCTTGAATACCACCATGTCCCACCATGATAATAATGAACTAAGCCTCTGAAAATATAAGCCACCCCAATTATGGTTTTCCTTTAAAAGAGCTGCCATGGTCAGGGTGTCTCTTCACAGCAATAGAAATTCTAAGACAGAGTGTTAACAGGAATTGAGCTCTCCAGAGTAGACTAGTTACTAAGAAGATCCTAAATCAACCCATAAGACATACTCAAAACCAATATATGCCCACATTGCATACAAAACACAAGAGAATGAAAAATAAGCAAGGCAGCACATGAGGTCATGACTTCTCCTTTCCTGAACCCAAAGATACTGAAATTACTGAATCCTCAGAATTCAATATCTGCTTCTAAAATAGTCACTGACTTCAAAGGTAAAAGAATAGATAAGTGATATGAAAGAAAGTCAGCAATGAAGAAAGAAATCAGTAACCTGGGTAAGAAATCCAGCAAGAAAATGGAGATGGAGGAGCAGAAATTTAGGAAATTAAAAGCTTGATCAGCTAATAAAAGGAGTGGAAAGCATCACCCATAGACTATACAAAGAAGACATGTTGGGGAAGTCTTATGTCAATAAAGCACTGTTGAGCCAATAGGGAACCAAGATAGGAGGGAC